AAAATATTGTTATAATAAAGACAATTTAATTTTTTATCACGATAAAAGCGCGGATACACACAGATTAGTAATTTTGGATAATGATATCATAAATGACATCCTTCACGATAATCATACTAGTATTTCAGCAGGTCATATAGGTAGAGACAGGTTAATTCATAAACTATCACAGAGATATTTTTGGTTCAATTTCATCAAGACAATCACCAAATATGTCAACAACTGCTTGAACTGCCAAAAGTCAAAAGCAGACACCATAAAACAAGGTTTATTAATGCCACTACCAATACCATCAAGACCTTTCACTGACATTTCAATGGACTTTTTAAAACTACCTATGACTGTTAGTGGCAAAGACAACCTGTTAGTGATAGTATGCCGTCTATCCAAATACGTCATATTGATACCATGTACTTCTAAAATCACCGCAGAAGAAACTGCTGAATTATTCATCAACCACGTACTTACTGACCATGGTGCACCTAGAACTATCGTATCTGATCGTGATCCCAAATTTACAGCTGATCTATGGTCTCACCTAATGAAAAGATTGAACGTAAAGATCAAAATGACCGTTCCAGGCAGACCTCAAGCCGACGGGCAAACAGAAAGAGCAAACAGAACTATCATTGAAACTCTAATGAAAATAGGAAACAGAAACAACTGGGATTTAGATATTAAATTAACACAACTAGCTCTCAACACTGCTGTTAATACTTCTACCAAGTTATCTCCTGCCAGTATAGTTTTAGGTTACGATCCTAAATTACCATCTACAGCCACTAATACCATCAATGATTACAAGGATTCTAGAGACAACATCAAAACCAATACACTGATTGCACAAAGCAACATGTTGGAAGCACAACTGAATCAAGCTCGTTACTACAATGTGGGTAGAAAACAAATCTACTACTCAACTGGAGATCTCATTCTAGTCAAGAGATCCAAATTAAACACTTCTCTAATAGCAGACTACAGTAACGAAAAGAAATTATTTGGTAGATTTTGTGGACCTTTCAGAGTCATCAAGACTTTCGATAATAACGTCACAATCAGAATATCAAACAAAAACAAAAAGACCCACACACTAAATGTAAACGACATTAAATTATTCAATGATGAAGATAACATCATTGGTAAGTTTGAAACCGATGAATATCAAATAAAAGACGTCCAGATGATAATGTCCAAGAGACAAAGAACTTATGGTAGAGGCTCTAGAACTGAATACCTCGCAAGATTCAATGGACTCAACGAAGACCACGACATTTGGTATGCCGAATCTCACTTGCTACGTACTGATCTTGGATCACAACTAGTCCAAGACTACAACGATTCTCTGGAAATTGATGCTATCGACCTCGTAGATCCAGAAAATCAAGACATTCAATACACTGATAATGAATCTGAGCTCTCTGATGTACAGGATGAATCTTCAGATGAAGATTTTCCTTAGAGAGGGCGCAGTGTAGCAGAAATGGTCCTTACTGCAACTCAGATCTCAATTCATCTACGAATCTCAGATACACTACGATTCGTTTCCCAGCTCCTTTATATTTTCCCACCGTAAACAATACAACATTACATACAAAATAAACACAATCATTATATATTCTTTATTCTTACATTAAACGTATAGTTATAGTATACCTAGGGCCCGAGGCATTACTATTACATTTTCTTATTATAGCTATGTTCATTACAGGTGGTGGTTTATTGGATTTGTCAGTTTCAAAGAGGTTGTAACAGATTATATTCCACATTTGGTTCATTATTATAGCCATCAGGGTTGGGAAGCAAAAAAACCTCCAATTTTTTTTTGGACCTGTGTAACTAGCAATGCGCCAGTACTACGGTGAAGTCTTAATTACGTTTATTTATTGAGAGGTATTATCTGTTAGAATTGTGTTGTGGTTGGTGTTAAATGGTATTTATCTTGGTTTTGATTGTTTTGTTTTTGTGATGTGAGTTTTGATTTCAAAAAAACCTCCAAATTCCCTTCGAAATAAAATTATTTTGCTCCGGAAGATAGTTTTGCATTTTTGAAAAAATTTTTGAAGAAAAAGTAGTAGAAAAAGAAGAAAAAAAAAAAGTAGTAGCAGAATATGAAGAATGTTGTTCAATATGCTTTAAAAAAATGGAAATACCAATGAAATTTGGATATATTGAAAATTCAACATTACCACAAATCTCATTTTTTAAAAATTGCTTGTAAAATGCATAATTTAGAAAATGAGATTTACTAGTTTTATAGGTATAGTTATATTTGTATATTTATAGAGAGAATAATACTCCATTCATCATATGGTGATGACTGGTATAAGATTCCAATAGGATATTGTAATTGGTGGGAGTTGTAAAAAGTGAGGAATCAAGGATTAAGACTTTTCAGAAATTTGAAGAAATTTAAAAAACATCAAGTTCTAATGTTTATTTAAGTTTATACTATATATTTATGCAATATTTAATGATTCAGATTAGGATATAAGTAATAAATGTAGAAGTTGTGTTGAAGTGTAATATTACATATAAGATTGTTGAAATTTTTAATTTTTTTTTTTGATTTTTTTCATTTAATTGTTTGACTGGTTATATCCTTGGTTTTTTTTTGTTCTTCTTTTCTTTTGTTCAAGTTATATTTATTGGTGCAAGAGTCTTTAAGAACACTATTCACTTTATGTTTTCCCTCATTGAAAGTCATTGAGTCAGGGAGCTATAATGTTCAAGATAGAAACCAGTGTGCTTTAAAAAATAATGAACATAGGTAGAGACCTTTTAACCTTTGGGTAAAGTGTCATCATCAATATCATAATTTGGTACTGGAATAGATTTACTAGTAGTAGTGGTAAAATTAGCAGAAGTGTTGTTGTTATTATTCCGATGGTGGGTGATCATGATGATGATACACTTGTCCTATCAACACTATCAGAAATACTATTTCATTACTGTTTCCTGCTGTGGTTGTTGGTGTAGTAGCGCCTCCTGATGAAACTGTGGTTGTTTGTGGTGGAGGTGGACTAGTCCAGGTGTCATAATCTAATATTAGTTATATAATAACCCAAGGATGGTAACAGAGATATACATCATCGTAATGATTACAAAACACCTTCAAGATACCAATAGACTATAATAGAGACAGAGATAGATAGAATGATAATAGAGATAGGATTATAAAAGAATCAATGATAGCTCTCAAAGAGGTGGTTATCATAGTAATAGAACACCTTCAAGAGATTCAAATAGATATTATAATAGAGATGATTATAAGACTCCATCTAGAGACTATAATTGTGAGCAAAGATACACAAGAATTATATGTTAGTCTCTAATATCTGCTATTTGGGAGAGACTATACAAAAGTAACCTAACTTCAATTTCGTCAAACTCATTCGTCTTGTGCTGTGTCACTATCAGTAATCCTATCATTCACTTGCTGTGAATTAGCCAAACTCTCATTATAACTATTCATTAAGAAAATATAATATGATACAAAAAAAATTTATATTAAACATATTAAAAAAAAAATATATAGGTGATATCAAATTAATTATATTTATGTTTGAGAGCTACAGTGGAGCAAAGAAATTTAGTTTCGTGGCTTATGTGAAAAAAAATATAAACACTCCAGTGGGTTACAAAAAGATTTTTTGGATATTTTTGATTTTTACGACAGAATAAACCAAATTTTTGTATTTAGTATTTTTGCCATATAAATACATAACTGGGCATTCCAGGAGCAAAACACCAAAAATTCAGAGGGTCCAAAAAATTTAAAAAAAAAACGACTTTTATCACCTGCTGGTCTCGATCCAGCGACCTTAAGGTTATGGGCCTCACAATCTTCCATACTGATCTAAGGTGATTAGTTGTGTTTTTTTATTTTTTTACTCATCCTTAAATTAAAAATAACGTCAAAAAAATTCCAATGTAAGAATGCTTGTTTCCAAGTTACACAAGAGTACAGTAAAGATTAGTATAAAAGTATACATAAAAGGTAGTCAGGAATGGATGACTATCATCTTAAGACCTTTTAGCGTAACTGTTAATACTGTATCTCTTACACCAATACAGCATGTCAGACTACGAAAAACAACCAACTCAATAAAAACACATTAATTTTGTTACATTTGGGAATTCCCATTTGTAGACCTGTAAAAAAAAAAAAAAATAAAAATAAATTTTTTTTAACATTTGTAGTAGAGCATACAAAATAAAATAATTAATCAAGAATATATCATTTATATCATAAAAAGAATAAAAGTTACCCTTTGTTATTACACATTTGTAAGAGATACAGTATTAACAGATACGCTAAAAGGTCTTAAGATGATAGTCATCCATTCCTGACTAAAGTATACATAAAAGGTAGTCATTCTATCTATTGTTCTTTTCCATATGATTTTTCTGCACATGTTTAGTTGATAAGCAATGGTGATCATATTGAATGGGGAGATCTCTGATTTGAATTTATTTGCGTTTCTTCTGGACCAAATATGGTGCATGAATATTCCAAATAATGAATTGGTCTGAGGGGAGTTCTTTTGTAGATTGAGTAGGTTGATGGACCACTCTACTTGCTCCAAGTGAAACGTGAGTAGACATTTTGAAAAGATTTTTTGTGTAACTTGGTAAGGAGCATTCTTACAATATCTTATAAGTACTTTGGTAAATCAAAGGACTTTACTTGAATTATATTCCAAATATCCAATAATCATAATAATAATATCTAAATCATCATTTATATGTGAGAGATACAACTTTCTTAACTATAATTTAATATATAAAAATCTTACATATTGTAAGAGATACAGTATTAACAGTTACGCTAAAAGGTCTTAAGATGATAGTCATCCATTCCTGACTACCTTTTATGTATACTTTATACTAATCTATACTGTACTCTTGTGTAACTTGGTAAGGAGCATTCTTACAATATATAATAATTTTCCATAAAATTTGGCTAAATAGGTAAACCAAATTGTTGGACTTCATCCCTAGCGTCGATAGTGAAGCGGTCAAACACGTGGCACTCAAGTTGCTATCCTTCGGGTTCGGGGGTTCGAATCCCCCTTGGCGCAGATATTTTTATTTAAAATTTTTTTTTTTTTTTTTTTCCTTCCCAGAACCAATTGTAGCCGTAACGATAGTATCTATCATTACTCTCACACATCTCAGACCATCTCATCTCAGATCACATCATGATCACATCATACATCTATTATTCCGAGCTCAACTCTGTTATTCGTATTCATAAAATAAAGACCATCATAATACATATTCATCTTAGTTATACAAACATCGTTTAGTCTTTATATTTATCCATTACGTTTACACTTTTTTTTTTTCTCAAACATATTTTTTTCTTTTATTTTTTATTATTTATTTCCATATTCGGTTTTATCGTTTATATTTTTAAATATTTAGGGCCGTCCCTTTGGGGACTGGTTCGGTGATACTCATGTATCCTCTTAGGAGGGCGTGAACACCTTCGGTATTTTATCTTACCTCATTAAAATTACAAATTAAATTACATAATCATTCATTTATCAATCACAATTTATTTATATTATTTCTATAATCATAACAATATTTACGTTATAATCACATTAAACACATTTAAACTATCATATGTTTTTCAATAATAAGAAATTGATCAACACCATCATCAATCACAATCTATATTATATCAATCATTATAACAATATTTACGTTATATTCATACCTTCGCGCCGGTATTATGTTTTTCAATAAGAAATTGATCAACAACAGTGATTTTGCACAAATTGCATTCACTTCATTATTTTTAATTTTACAGACAATTGCTATCAAGACAATGAATCTTTAGCATTGCTGAATAGTTCGTAACTTTGTGATTTAGATTCCCTAGCCAGGAGATACACAAACCACGGTGGCCACGTATAGTTTGGTATCGTCAATTGACATTCTTGACACATTTAGAACATAATTTCAAAACACATCTGACTGGAAAAAAGTAATTCCAGATAAATTTCAGAGTGTTACTTCAAAGCTAAACAGAAGGTGATCGCATATGACGATTTCATCCTAAGAATCTGATTTATGCTGTTTGGTAATGTTTCTACAAATCTTTTATGATTTATTGTAGTATAATTCATTCCATTATTTTTTTTCCATAGCACAGCTATTGGATATAAAAAACAAATTAAAATGTCAGTGTATTGTATCTTGATTACATACCCACATTTTCAACAGTTGTACCCAATGACATTAAACTATCACAATCAACCTGATAGATGCTCATTAAATCAACCCCTTTTCAAAATCCTCAATTCTTCATCTACCGTTGCTTAATCAATGATTGATTGTACTAGTATTTGGCACACCCATTACTCTACAATTTCAAATCTTACGATCATGATTGTTGGTCTGGTCACCTCATCATAGATCATTGCACAAAAAAGAGAAGATATAATTGGACTACTTTTCAAATTGTCAATCTGTTCAAGATTCACAGTTTACCTTGTTTCCTTTGGAACATCAATACCCCACGTTCTCAGATTCATTACTTCCTCAATTTGTGAATCTATTTCGTTTAACCTACGACTGCTTGTCTAAGATTTAGCTTGCATATAAACGTGCTCTGGCTCTTACATAATGATAATCCACTGCCTGCAGCTTTTAAAATCTATTCAAGATATTTGCTACTCATTCAACATGATATTTCAAGTACCTTGGAATTCTTTCCTATTCAATTACTCAACCATTCAAGCTCAATCGATGTTCTGATCTATTATTTTCCTATTGATTTTCAAATCAATCTTAGGAGGGCGTAGTGTAGCCGTAACGATAGTATCTATCATTACTCTCACACATCTCAGACCATCTCATCTCAGATCACATCATGATCACATCATACATCTATTATTCCGAGCTCAACTCTGTTATTCGTATTCATAAAATAAAGACCATCATAATACATATTCATCTTAGTTATACAAACATCGTTTAGTCTTTATATTTATCCATTACGTTTACACAATCCTGATTGCCGCCGTATTAGCTTATTTGTAGCAGTAATGGTACTTACTGCCACTCTGTAGCCGTAACGATAGTATCTATCATTACTCTCACACATCTCAGACCATCTCATCTCAGATCACATCATGATCACATCATACATCTATTATTCCGAGCTCAACTCTGTTATTCGTATTCATAAAATAAAGACTATCATATTACATATTCATCTTAGTTATACAAACATCGTTTAGTCTTTATATTTATCCAATACGTTTACACACTCAGATCTCAATCCATCTCGAATCTCATATAGATTACGATCCATTTCCCAGCTCCTTTATATTTCCCACCTTCAATTATAATACAACAATACTTTACGAAATAAACATTCATTATATATATATTCATCTTAACTTAACATACAACCTTTGTAGTAGCACTTCTGTGGGCCCCAGTCGTTCCTATTATACTTTTTTTTTTTCTCTCATACAAATTTTATTTTTTCTTTTTTTTCCAAATTTAGTAATTACAACCTATAAACTTTCTTATTAAATGTCAGACAACAACAATTTTAATAATCACGCTAATAAGCTTTTCAACAACCTTAAGAATATGGAATTCAATGAGGTAGATAGTATAGCATCAATCTACGAATACATGACACGACTTTCAGCTCTCATCAAAGAACAATTACGTGTTGAATTTGAAGAAAAGTTTAAACTACACGTATTAAATTCAGACGCCATCAAAAGTGAACTATCAGCCGTCAACAGGGACTTACAAAACCAACTAATAGACTCCAAAGCTGACAACAAGTACTATCAAGATATGTTAAACCAAAAGGAATACCTGTTCAGTATTTCCAACCATCTTTCTATTCTTCTAACTTACTTTCCTAACACCACTAACGATCAACAAGTTAGAAGAATAGAAAGATGGTTGGAAATACTGAACAGGTATTCCTTTACAACTAAATACATTGTTGGTAGAAACAATGTACTAGCCGACTGCTTATCAAGAAACCCTGACTTTTATCTGGAATGGGATTCCCAAATGATTACCAGGATAAAGGACTCTTACAAAAAATTTGAAAATAATGAACAAAAAAAATTTCAGTCCAAATTTTTTTGAAAAACATTGTTTTAAAAAGAATGATCTGATTTATTACTATGACAAAAACTCCGATTCACCAAGACTATTCATAGTAGATGCGGATATCATTAAGGAGATCTTACATGACTCCCACACAAGTCTATCAGCTGGTCATATCGGAAGAGATAGACTAATCCAAAAATTAACACCACTTTATTACTGGTTTAAATTCATAGCTACTATTGAAAAATATGTAAAGAATTGTCTAGATTGCCAAAAAGCCAAGGCTGATACCATTAAACAAGGCCACCTTGTATCTTTACCAATTCCAGCTCGATCATTCTCAGACATCTCCATGGACTTCATGCAACTACCCAGAACTGTATCTGGAAAGGATAATCTCCTCGTTATAGTTTGCCGTTTATCTAAATACGCTATATTGATTCCATGTACAACCAAGATCACCACTGACGAAGTAGCAGATGCTTTCATTAATGAAGTAGTCTCCATTTTTGGACTACCAAGAACCATCGTTTCAGACCGAGACTCAAAGTTTACATCTGATCTCTGGTCACAATTAATGAACAGACTGAACATCAAAATCAAAATGACTGCTCCTGGAAGACCACAAGCTGATGGACAGACCGAGAGAACCAACAGAACAATCAAAGAAACTCTCATGAAAATCGGCAACAGAACCAACTGGGACAGAGACATCAAAATCACACAAATGGCACTCAATAACTCAACTAACGCCTCAACCAAACTAACCCCAACTGAAACAATACTAGGATTCATCCCTAAACTACCCATCAACACATTAACATCTCAACAAGACTTCAACGATACATTGGATAATATTAAAACTAAGAGAATGATAGCACAAAATAACATGCTCGAAGCACAGTTGAATCAAGCTTCGTACTACGACAAGAAAAGAGTAAACATCAACTATTCTGTAGGAGATCTAGTTTTGATCAAAAGAGAAAAACTCAACATCACACATTCAGCAGATATCAAAGCTGAAAGAAAACTATTAGGTAGATATTGCGGACCTTTCAGAATCACAAAGAAGTTTGAAAACAATGTAGTCATTAGAATGTCCAGCAAGAACAACAAAACCCGTGTTGTCAACGTAGACGATATCATTCTATTCAACGAAGAAGACAACATTATCAACCAACACGAAACAGATGATTATCAAATTAACGATATTCAGAAACTCATCACCAAAAGAGACAGAAAATACGGCAGAGGTTCAAGAATCGAATACCTAGCCAGAATCAACGGACTCACAGAAGATCATGACATTTGGTACGCCGCATCACACTTGTCAAGAACCGAATACGGTTCTCAATTGGTACAGGACTTCGAAGACGCTCAAACTATCGACGACATCGATCCAGTAAACCCTAATCAATTAGAGATTGAAGACAATTTCGATCTATCTGATAACAATGATCTCTCTGATGAAGATCATTCTTAGGAAGGGTAATGGTACTTACTGCCACTCAGATCTCAATCCATCTCGAATCTCATATAGATTACGATCCATTTCCCAGCTCCTTTATATTTCCCACCTTCAATTATAATACAACAATACTTTACGAAATAAACATTCATTATATATATATTCATCTTAACTTAACATACAACCTTTGTAGTAGCACTTCTGTGGGCCCCAGTCGTTCCTATTATATATTGCTAATTACACAGGCCACAAAAAAAAAACTCCCGGAGCCAATCTAGCTGTAATAGTATTGCCCGAGGTTTAGTCTCTATATTTATCCAATACGTTTACATAATGGTCATCACTAGTTAAATACCATTTAACACCAATTTTAACAGTCAATAAACGTAATTAGTATTCAATTTAAATAGGAAGACATGTTAACATTAAACTAAAAACTTTTAAAAACATAAATTCACGTCGAATTTTTAGTCTTCCACAAGTCCTCTGTAGCCGTAACGATAGTATCTATCATTACTCTCACACATCTCAGACCATCTAATATCATGATCACATCATACATCTATTATTCCGAGCTCAACTCTGTTATTCGTATTCATAAAATAAAGACTATCATAATACATATTCATCTTAGTTATACAAACATCGTTTAGTCTTTATATTTATCCAATACGTTTACAAAAAGATTTTTTGGATATTTTTGATTTTTACGACAGAATAAACCAAATTTTTGTATTTCGTATTTTTGCCATATAAATACATAACTGGGCATTCCAGGAGCAAAACACCAAAAATTCAGAGGGTCCAAAAAAATTTAAAAAAAAAAACGACTTTTATCACCTGCTGGTCTCGATCCAGCGACCTTAAGGTTATGGGCCTCACAATCTTCCATACTGATCTAAGGTGATTAGTTGTGTTTTTTTATTTTTTACCCATCCTTAAATTTAAAAAAATACAAAAAATTTTTTTTAAAAAAACAGCACATGTTTGTAGATAAGTACTTTGGTAAATCAAAGGACAATTATATTCAAAATATCCAATAATCATAATAATAAAATCTAAATCATCATTTACAGTTGGAATATTTCTAGCAAACATTCTAATTCTAATATTGTTAATGTTTTAAACATTTTACTATTCATTACTTTACCATCTATGCCACCTTTATAAAACCAACTTGATGGTTCATATGGTGATCCTCATATCTAGCTGTTATTGCATTTAAAATAATTTTTTTTATATTAATACACAAACCTATATATTTATATATTATTGTTCAACTATCCATAGGGTACCAGCTACTAATGGTTGTTAGGGTTTAAATAATTTATAACTCATAAATTGAATATTAAAAATTCATTATTGATTTTAGGTATCAAAAACAAATCATATTTTATAAACTTTATTATACTTTTATTATTATTTAATTAATTTTAATAATTATTTGGGTTTGAAAAATGAGAAACCCAATCACCTTGAATTGGAGTATTTATAAATTGAGAAGGTATATCAAAAGCTTTTACAAGAGGTAAAGCATGATCACGTAAGGAATAGCAAACCTTATTGATAGCATTACGAATGGCTTGAGCTTTAACTGGAGCAAAATATTTATTTGAAAGGAACCAACCCATATCTTCTTCAATTTTTGTAAGTTCATATAAAATACATAGACTAGTTAGAATTGGTTTAGTAGAGGGAGGAGATTGTTGAATTTCTTCAAGGAATTTTTCAATGGTAACTCTTTCAACATAGGCAAGTGATAATTGTTGAATGAGATCAGAACAATGATTCCAAGCCTGTAGAGATGTCATTTTATCAGATTTCATTTTATCTCTTAGTGATTTAATTAGAATACGTAAGAGTTTAAATTCTCTATAGATGAATGCATCCAATAGCATATCGGCATCCATTAAATGAGTTTCTGAACTTAGACGTTTAGTAAAGAAATTCTTATTTCTTAAAAATATACCAATATGACCTTTTGAATAGGTATATGATAACATTCCTGTAATTCTTTTACTACCTGTAAAATAAGAACGAAATTCCACTAGTAATGCTTTGGCCACAGCTTGCATTAGAACAGTATTATCACCTTCATAGGTAAGATCAACATCAGAATCTGCACGTAATAAACCAATTCTATTACTAGCAGCTAAACCCATACCACCACAGGCTTCTCTACAAGTTTGAAGTGTTTTAACACGATTCCAAGTGACAGCAGCTTTAAAACCACAAGCCAACATGAAAACATCTCTAGCATCCTTTTCAGTCTTGTTTTGAAATTTAGATGTAATATAATTTATACTAATTTGATAGGCATATGCTGATGCAATTAATGGTATTAATCTTCTTTGATGACTTGGATATTCCATAAGCAATTGTTCCTTTTGACCAGATGGACCAAATTGTCTACGTGTACAAGCATAATGAACTGCAATAGATAAACCCATTTTACTACAACTATTTGCCATATTACTAACTGAAACTCTACCACCAATTAATGCCTCCAACATGGAATTAAAACGTACATTTGGATTCTTGATTGGTGTTGAATAGGTACCGTCATCAGAAACATCACCAAACTTATTCAAGATATTCTCTTTGGGTATACGGACTTGTTTAAACCATAAACGACCATTATCTACACCATTTAAACCAATTTTTGGTCCATTATCAGCTGCAGTGATACCAGGTAGTAATTGCATAGTTTTTGGATCTCTTAATGGTACCATAAATGGATGTAACCCATAATCTTGACCATTTAAATGTAAATTTGCAAATACAGTTGCATAAGTTGCATAAATGGCAGCATTACCAATCCAAATCTTTTGTGCAGTATCACTGGGAGTATGAATTACAAATTGTCTCTGTTCGGGGTCATATTCAGCAATGGTTTCAACTCCACGAACATTACTACCATGTCCCAATTCAGTCAATGCAAAACAACCTCTAATCTCACAATTATCAATGGCATCATAATATTTTCTATGTTGTTCCGAACCTAAACATACAATACTAGCTCCAAATAATCCCCAATGCACTGCTGATTTTACTGCAAGTGACATATCACTATAAACCAATAATCCATGAAACATTGAGAATCTCTTATAATTACTAATAACCTCGCTCAATTTTAAACATTGTGCTTCAGAAATTTTTAGTAATCTCTTTTGTGCCAATTCTCTTTGTTCTGGTATAGATGCATATAATTGTGGTTGAAATATTGGATCTTTAAGTGCTTCTACAATCTTTTCTCTTTGTGATCTTAATAATTCATCTGGATGTCCAATTAATAAATCTGTCAAATATTCCAAATCCTTATTTGTTAATTTTTTTTGTTCTAAATTATTTAAAATATTTGTTGTTACAATATTATTATTAATTTGATTATTATTATTTTGATTATTATTTTGATTGGTTGCTAATGTTGGATTACTGATTAATTCATTATTAAAATGATTTGATAAAATTTCAATTCTATCCATCAATTTTTTTTTTTTATTATTAGATTGATATTTAATATTATATAATAATAATAATTTTAGAGATAAAAAGTAAAACAATGAAAAAATACAAATTCAAAAAAAAAAAAATAATTTAATTATTAAAACACACCAGTTGTAATAATAAATTAAATGAAAAAAAAAATGAAAAAAACCTAGGTTTTATGATGTTATGAATTGACTTTTTCAAAAGATCGTTTGCACGAAATTTCAAAATTACCACCTTAAATATATATTATAATCTTTCGTATTTTTACATATTTCTACATGTAAATTTTTAAAGAACATTTAATATTAACCTTAAGGTTGGTATTTTTAATCCGAAAATATCTATTTAATTCATTGTATCAATTACACAAAATTTTTCATTATATGTAAGGGTAGTATAAAAAATGATGCTAATCAAATGTCATCAAACTGATTTATGAAAAATTTTATAAAAAAATTTGTTTTTTTTTTTTTTTTTTTATTTATTTTGTGTGGGTGTATTGAAATCGATTTAGTAAACCTAAAACTTAAGATTTATATATATATCTTTTATTTATTCATTTGAATTTAGTTTAGATTAAAAATTTTTTTTTTTTTTTTGTTTTTTATAAATATTTTATATATTCAATTCATTTATCACAATTAAAAAAAAAACTCATTACAATTCATTATTGTATTTTTTTTTTTTAAAAATCATTTCGATTGATTGTCCCCAATACCCTATTTTTTTAAAAAATGATTGAAAATGAAGGATATTTAATAAATCAAGTTAAAAATCATGATAAAGTAGAAGATGCATGGGTTATATTGGATGGAGAAGTTTATGATATAACCAATTTTCTATCAGGACATCCAGGTGGTATGGAAATTCTAATTGAACATTTGGGTACAGATATTCAAGAAGTTTTTATGGAACATTTACATTCAGAGACAGCCTATAATATGTTACAGAGATATCATATAGGATCATTAAAAGGGTATCGTCAAGTTGGACCAACAACCCTAGAACAAATTAGAAAATTAAAATTAAAAAATGGTGCAGATAATAAATCAACTGTATCAGGAAATAGTAGTAATAATAATAATAATAATGACAAATTAGTATTTATAGATGTAAAAAAACCAATGGTACCACAATTAAAATTATTAGAAGGCGAAACTTATTTAAAATGGATACATTCACAAACAGGTCTAGAAGAGATTATAATATTTGATAGAGCATGGATGGAGAAATTCACCCGTTGGCCATGGTGGTACATTTTTATATTATGGGTACCTATTATTGTTAGTGCATTTGGTTATTCTATAACTAGAGAACAATCCAATGTCGTAGTGTCATCTACCACCTTTTTATTTGGTTTATTTTTTTGGAGTTTTATTGAATATATACTACATAGATTTATATTTCATATAAAAACCTGTTCCTATTGGGGTAACTTTTTCCACTTTTTCATTCATGGTATTCATCATTTAACTCCATTTGATAGTACACGTTTAACATTTCCACCAATGTTCTCAGTTCTCTTGGGTTATGGTGCTTGGAAACTCTTTTTACAATTCCCTGATAATCTTCAAATAACTGGTTTACCTTGGGCTCTTTTTGGTGGTATTGCATGTGGTTATATGCTCTATGATACTGTTCACTATTATTTCCATCATGGTGAAATTGATTGGTTACCTGCAATCTTTAAAAAAATGAAATCCAATCATCTAAATCATCATTATAAAGATGACAACAAAAATTATGGTGTAACTTCTCCAGTTTTTGATTATGTATTTGGTACAATTTAAATTTCTCTCATTCTCCTAAAAATCTCTCTATATCTTTACATCTAAAATTTTAATAAAAAAACAATAAAACATATTCTTTTTTAAATTTCTAAAAACATTCTATTTATCTTGATCAAATACTGAATAAGTATTCCTATTTTGTAATTCATCAATACATCTTTGTATAGTTGCTATTGTTGATTCATTTCCACCTTGAAGAAATAAATGTGTTTCATCAATATCAATAAGTTCAAAATGTTCTTGTTTACTAACAAACAATAAAAATTGTTTTGTTGGTGGATCACTAAAAACATTTTATAATTTTATTAATAAATGATGATAGATATTATAAATATACATATAAATTTTACCATTCTAAAAACAATCCTTTAAAAACATGAACCATTCCAAAAATTAAAAAATGATAAAAAAAAAAAAAAATTAAAAAAATAAAGATATGTAGAATAGATATGTAAATATCAAAAAAAGAGTTATTATATTATTTATATTAAAAAAAAAAAAATTAATATTTTAATTTTCAAAGTGATGGGATATTTAGAGAAAAAAACCGAACCGCTCAACAAAACGATGAAATAAAAATCTAAATTTTTTTTTTTTTCATTTTCATATTACCAATCAAAAAGAAA